AAAACAAGATTTTTCTTATAAATTGGGACTTCTAGTAGACGGCCGGAAATGGTTGGGATGGGAAGACTAGGCCTATTTTTTTTGTTTTTTGTTGGTCCAACTGCCCGACGAGCTTTGGCAGATAGGGGGGTTAAGCCCCTCCCCTGCTGGCGCTGCCACTGTAACTAGCCAATTGCTAAAGTTTCTCTATGCCAAGGGGAATACCCCATGATCCCATCCAGGGCTTCACCTGCCCTTCACATATTTGGAAATACAGTAGCCTTGTACGGATGCGTGACATTTTTTTACATGTTTACGTTATGCAGAAAATAGGATGAATGTGGGCTAGTATAAATTAATTACGGTACCTATTAGCACATTGTCCTCATGAAATCACATTTAAACAATACTGTATATAATCTATTTAATTATTAATTTTCAGGAACTCCTGGCATCAACGGGAACCATGGGATACCTGGGATGATGGGTGCTCGGGGACCAAAAGGTGAAAGGGGTCTGAAGGGATCTAAAGGCGAGAAATGTGATTCTTGTCAACAGCTTTCTAAGGAACCACTTGCAGACTGTAATACCATTACCAACTGTTCTACCGGACGCCAAGGTCAAAAAGGTGATAAGGGTGAAAGCGGTGCGAAGGGGGAACAAGGAATAACTGGATTACCAGGGGTGGAGAAAATACAAATAGCAGAACGAACCAAAGTCGCGTTTTCGGCAGGGCGTACAAAGACGATGACTTCACAGGAACCTGGTTCTGTAATCACATACGACACACTGTTTGTGAACGCAGGATACGATTTTGACAAAGACACAGGAATATTCACTTGCCGCATTAATGGTACTTACTACTTCGTCATGCATGTAGCAAATTTCTATGATGTGGGCGATAATAATTTGTATGTTGAATTGCTGAAGAACAACAAGCATATTGTTAGCGTATATCACCATGATGACAGTACGTATAGAGATTCAGTCTCCAACAGCGTGATTCTGCACCTAGTAAGAGGTGATAAAGTTAAGCTTTTCCTTGAAGGTAATCGCCACCTTTACAGCAGTTCGCGTCGATTTACCACATTTTCAGGTTATATACTATTTGTCGATTAGCACCATTCATATATTGTTATAATATTTGCATGTGTGTGTGACAAGAATCACAGTGTTGCGGTAATGGACACCTAATATGCTATATGCAGCCATTGTATCTCGACTCAACTACTGTTGATGCCTGTAGCACTTGCGCCGACTTTTACTCACATTTGTGCAACTACAAGCAACTAGTTGCGAAGAGTGATTGTGTCACTTCCGACTAAATTATCTACAACAAGTTACCATGCAATGCTACCATAATTTGATAAAATTTTAGTGTACATGACATGTGTACAGTTAATAGAGTACAGTACCACATGACCATTCAATTGCTCATTAGTTGTTTTGAATCGTAGCAAAATAGAAATGGGCAACTGAGAGCAACTAGTGATTGGAGCACTCAAGTCGCTTTAAATTGCAACTCACAGTTGCTGGCAAGTTGCCAAAGGTCAATTGATGTCAGTTGAGTTGAGTTGCAAGGGCGGAAAGCGTAGCAGGTGCTGCTTGCCGTACTTAAATAGAAATGCTGCAGCCGCATTTGTATATATTTTTACAGAAAGGCCTATCATATATTATTACAAAATGGTAGATTGTTATACAGTAAATTGTGATCCTGGTCCTGGGTAAACTTAGGATAAATAATTTGGATCAAACTTGCATAAAATATAATGGAACAAAAGCCTGTGTCGAGCTTAAATGATCTAATAAGGGCTTCACGTGTCGAGTAAGCATCTCGAGTGGGCATCACAGCGCTTATTATATTTTGAATAAACATTGTGGCGCTTAATCAAGAACATATATTCCAACATGCTTTGGAATAACTACCGTATCCTATTAATGATGCAGATAATTCTTTTCAATTGAATTTTTTAAAAGTAATTTTCGTATTTTCTAGACATAATCTTTAACAATCAAAAAGTATATGCCAAAGTGTTCATTAACATGTTTATATTCAGCCATATACCGTAATTATTTATTGCAACTACGGTAAGTGTTGAATTTTTTTCACTGTAAATGGTTACCAATGCTGCAGACTAATTACAGTACCTGTACATTAATGTGACTGTGATTTGATCCGAGGGCAACAATAAAATCATCCATTGACTTATTTCTGATGTCTGATGTCATGCTTAGATTATTCAGTTCTTATTGGCTAGGGATGTACATTTGCTTACACTGAATCCACATCTGATATGCTTACGTCACATCAAAAAGAAAAATCTACCACATTTTCCAAACAAGTCTTTTATTCATCTCCACCTGAAATATAATCACTGTTTGTAAGTTTACAAAGTCTACAAGAGTTCAAGTTGTACTTCTACAATAGAATCTTCAATCTTTACACTTACTCTACAAGTATACCAACAACGAAGGAGGTTTTTTTTTTAGAAAACAGCAAAGAGGAGACAATGCACAGAACAACAAAGTCATTCTTTATTCTTGCGGTATCTACTTGATCTACCAACTAAATTGCTGGATTTGGTTGATTTTTAGGTTGATTGCTTACTCATTGCACTGTATGTTACAGAATCACACACAAATCTATTAAATCACATCAAATCATCTTTACCTACATTAATGAAACATCAAGATCACCATACACTGAATCCAACCCATTACTAGACTCACAATCAACTAATTACAATGATCTCTATTTGACACTTAACTATTCATTTCACCTGCAACCGTCTTAAAAATAAGTTTCTCCGGCTCAGGAGTCATCATCTCTTACTAGTATACATCAAAGAAAAATAAGGAAGACATAAAATAAAATATATTTAATATAAAACTTTTTCTGTAAAAAGAAAAAGACATTTGCACAGCTATGGTGTTATGTGATGCTAAGTATCATTACTTAGCTAGCATTCTGCCATGCCCAGAAGAGAAACTGGACTAGTGAAGGTACTAAGATTACCACCATAGTATGTCAGATTGAGAAAATCATGCCTTTAAAATATGTGGCCTTTGGTATAGATCTGTCTATGAGCAAACATATAAAACATAAAATAAATATAATTTTTATAAATTCTGAAGCTTAAACTTGACTCTTACTTTTATATCACACTCCATTTTGTTTAAAGCTTACACAAGATTTACACAAGGAGAACATGTTACACAGGATACTTTGTAATGTTTTGTATACTCTCCAAGATGGGTGGGTCCAGGAATTTTCATTTTCTAGATGCCCTTTTTTCGTTCTCTTCATTTTTTTCACTTCCAAAAAAGGAGACCAAGGCTGGCTCGGATGCCCTAAATCCGCCTCTGCTAGATATTCTTACCAAGATCCAGTAGTGGGCGAGGGAAATATTACGATTTATTTTAATAGAGGGGACTATCCTCTTGTTTAATGAGAGTCAATTTGGCAGGGATGGGTCCAGAAATGTTCTGAGGTGAATTTAAATCTGCTGACATCATAAGCGCAGGTTCCCTGACAGGGGTCTACTTTCCCTCAGTCTCACTGTGTTTGGTGAGAATAGGCTCTAAATATCCACGAATGAGATATACAGACTTCCTGTATAACATTTAATTTGTGTAAATCGTGTATTACTGTAGTTTAATTTTGAAAGAACTAATATCACAACATCTAACAATGTTTACCATGTTTTGTACCTTATATAACATTAAAATATAAAACAAATTGACATATTTGACATAATATGTACATTAAAATGCACATGTAACATACAAAATCAGTACAAACTTTGCAGCAAACAAAAGGTATCTTTTTAGACAATATAACCACCTACTCTATCTACATAGACATAAATAAAAGGCATCACGTACTGCTTAAAAACATAAAAGAAATATAATACTTTGGACGGCATACACTGTATATGAACAAAATTTTTAAAAACACCTACTGTACCAAAATACTATTCTTTTATACATGGACGTTTGAGTTGTAAAAGCAGCACCAAGTTTTTAAATTGTACATGAAGATGTCAGTATATACTAAGAAATAAATGAATTGCATTGTCAGCCATAAAAATGAATTTTAACCATAAAAACAATTGTCCGAATTTGCTAAATTGCATCTGATTTTACAGCTTTAAATAACTTGTATTTTTATACAAGATGGTTCGCTTATGTACAGGTTAACAGGTACATGCAGAGGCGGAAAATTTCTTTTGCACATGCTTTCCTACTCATATCTAATCTACTGCTTACTACATTCTACTGCCACATACCTGAGACTAGTTAAATGATCTTTTTTTTCACACATCTATTTTCGCAGTGTGGTGATATACCCATTGCAGCTGACTTCAATTGATAATTTTTTCATTTTCATTTCTCTTTATTACATCATCAACTTAATTACAAACAAAATAAACACGAAAAAAACAAAAACAAAAACAAACAAAAAAACACCCTGCAGGATCCATAGAAATTATGGATTGACAAAAAGAAGTATGTTTCATCTTTTTGAAGGCCTAGATCCATTTACTGAACAAACTAATGGGTTTACACTAGTAGAAAATCGTAAAAAAAAACAAAAAAAAAACTGAAAAGTTATTTTCTCATAATACAATAGTAAATACATGCAAATACTCTATCATAAATATATACAGGAGATCGGTTAGTTTCCAGACTTTGCTTGCGAGGGGCTTAGTAGGTGAGAAAAAGGGTGGTTATGCCCCTTCCCCCAACCCAGTTTTTAAATATTCAAAAATCTTTATCAGTTAAACTGTTTCCAATTTTTTCGCCCAATATGCTTTTTGTGTCTTAGAAACATCAGTTATACAACATAACAAATTTTCCCCTCCAGACCCTGACTTTAACTATAAACAAACTTATGTCATTAAAAAATGTAATTATTGGCTATTATTGAAATCAGTCCAAACATATAGCAATAATATGTAGTACTACATAAAATTAATTGAAGCTTTATCATAACTATGAAAATAGTACATAGCCATGCCACCTGATTGGGGGGGGGGGGGGTGGTGGTAGCAAGATCCCAGGGCCCAAGCTTACCAGGGGCCCATAGAAATTGAAGGTAGCATTTTTTCCCAAATATTTTGTACTCCAAATTGACAAGTTGCCCCACCCGAAAAAATGTTTGTGTATTGGCGCAATCTTTCTCTCCCTTGTAACTGGGAGCCCACACCAAACCTTGACCCTGTTACAGTTTCCCTTCTTGGTGGCCCTGGTACATAGTAAGCAGTAGAAAAAGACATTAATAAAGCAATATTGTGCAATAGTATCCAAGAAACTATGTACTAAATCATCTGTACATAACAATACTACACTTGCATTATACACTTCAAGTACAGTAGAGTATCAAGTACAAACTGAACTATTTTTAACAAGGCTGAAGTAACAAGTACATTGTACCACAGTACCAACATCTTGATGGAGTTCAGAGATGTATGTTGGTATGCCTGTTATCTCTTCCTAATAATGACCAAGTCACTATACAGACTAAAACCTTGACACCTATTTACTGTATAGCATTATCTTTTCTACTGAGATAAGCATTAATGTACATGTTAAAGAAACGATCATCAATCATGTATCTAGATAATAATCTGTATCCTTCTCCTCTTCCACAATTTTGATGAACTTGTGATATAAATCTCCCTCAACAATTACCTATTCTAGTACTATTCAACACATTCTTAGTTATTATTATTAAAGACAGCAATATTTAATTTACATAACTTTCATTTTTCTCTGATAAATGGCATAATATATTCTTGTTATATACTAATCTTTGGTTTCTGACTTATTAAACATTAACCACTCTATGCAATAACAAGGCTTTAGTGGATCTCCCACAAGCTGACACATGCTTATAGTTGAGCCCACATTGTCAAGTGAAAACATCTTAGCTGTGTGGATTAAGTGTAAACATGATCCTTAGCTGTCATCATTGATTAGTTGTTTAGTAGTCACTTCCAGTCCTCACTAACCAATAAAAGTTTGCACAACCATGGAGGTATGGCACAACAGACATTAGTTAAATGAATGTAATAACCATGTACAGTATCCCAACCATTATTATTACATCAGCTTATGACAGACCCAATGTAATACACAATCTAGATAGTTCTTAGTTTCTATAAACAAACTAATTAAAGAACTTAACAATAAGAAAACAATTATATCTATGGACAGGAAATAATGACACTAGCATGTTTCAGACAAATATACAAAATGTATTATCATTATTTAAAATTTTCTATAAATCTGAAGATGCAAAAATGTTATTTTATAGCAAAAATCCCTAAAATTGTCTCGTTCCATCGTTGTCATTTACTCTGATGAAAATTTTCATAATTTTTTTATTTTACTTGCTGGTCAACCAAATGTTTCAAAATTCCAACAAAGTATAGGTAAACAGACACAAGATGGAAGGATATAACTAAAAATATGGAAAATATAAAAGTATATTAAATTTAAAGTATTCATAACAATAACAGTAGGAATTGAATTATCATTATTTAAATGATTTTAATGGGTGAACTTTGACATGATATTACATATCAACTTAATTTCATCTTTCAGGAGTGTCTATCAACAACTGACCAATTTTAACAGTACATGCTTGTCCCACCAGCACACGTGTTGCCCCACAAACTCAGGTGCGTATGTACACTTGCGCTGTTGTTTAGTGAGATCAGAGCAACAATTATCCAAGGGGCGGCGCTTTGCGGAAAGGTTTAGATAATGCATGTGCAAAAAAATTGTAGACATGTACTGGAATGCAGACACGTGAAAACAATTTTTAAGATGTGCCAACGTTTCACTATCTTGGGAAGTGAACACAAAATTGTGTTTAGATTTTGATAGATGGAAAAACCTTAATTATTATTGTACTCTCAAATTTATGCAATGAATAGTCAGCCATGAACAATACAATAACTAATGCTGTAAACAATATTACTGACACAAAGATATCCTTTGGTCTTATTTGATATTAAGGCACTTTATCATTACCAATCATTAACATTATATTATGACTGGTCCAATTTATATTAGCTAATAGTATGTCTATGAGAATTATGAGTGTCCATATATGAGCATGATGATGCCATATCATAGCCATATATGGCAAAATCACAGGTATATGTCACATACAAAAGATGGACAGAGATTAGTAACAATGATCAAGGACTGTGACCATCAACTAATGACTTCTATCTCTTACCTATGGACCTATGACTACCATGTACAGTATGTATTAACAATGACTGAATACGAACATAAGACCCCCCACTAATGGCTCACTACTGGCTAATGACCTATGACTAATCGACCATCATGTGATGTAAACTGAGTATGTACTTTATACCAATTCTTGGCATAACACTAAACTCATAGATGTTGGCTAACCCATTCATCAACTTAGTTCATGATCCAGTTCTTATTTCTTTAATACTTTTTATATAGACCTGAGTAAAATTCCAGCGAAAACCCATGCATCGCCAGAACATAGCATTCCAATCTTCACATTTCAATCTTCAATGCACTAAACAAATAAAATTAAAAAGTAATAGCAAATAATACAGCCCAAAGTAAATAGAGATTATTAGGTACATAACACCCTACTGACTATTCTTACTGAGCCTCTTCTTCATTACAGCCTATGGCTCTGGGAGCCATGTTCATTGGCAAACTTTGCAAGGTAGTACGAAGTGTCTTGGCAGTACGCTCTTGTCTGGAAGCCTTGATAGCTCTCTTTGGAGCATACTTCAAATGGGTTGGCGCATAACCCGGTATAACCGCCATATTAGGGTCACCGGTGTACACTATCTCTGGCATGTAAGGTCGATTATAGACATTCGAATGCTGCTGCTGTTGCTGCTGCTGGCTTGAGTAGTGACGGTACGAGGACTGATGAGGATCCACTGCCATTAAGGCACCCTGGTGAGAGTGCCATTAGATGTCAAACCATATCTCTGTTAATTTTGGCAGCAAGAACAGAGCGGAAAGAAGAGTGTGATAGAAAATTAGTCTGGTACAGTTTTGCACAACTTACAATATCAAACCAAAAAACTCTCATTTTTATCTTTTCTGTGTATTTTATCAATTCCATTTCCTTACTAAATTTTGAGATGATGGATTAAAGAGAATTTGTATTTGAAATGTCGAACTTTAGATTTGAACAACTGGTATATATTTCTTTACCACATTTTGTGCTGTATGATTGTATATGCCTGTGATAATAAATGTTATTGTTAAAAGAGTATTAACACTGATTCTTACAATGTTGAGATTGCCCATGGAGCATATTTATTTGATTTAATCAATAAAATTTTTACATGAGCTTCACTACCCATTTCAAATCTACTTGCGGCCAAATTTTGTGTCCTGACTGGTTGGGTATGGAGGCAGTATACAGTTGTATAAATTGATAATAGTGAACAATGATAAATGATTACCAATATAAACAATAAAAAAGTAAAATACCAAACTGAACAAAAAAGGAATGAATTTGAAAAACCACCGAAACAAGTAAAGACATTTGTGCAAAACAATACCAAGAAAGAAGAAACATAGCAATAGGTAATTGAAAGAACATCAAATATCATAAAAGAAGGTAGAAGATTCTGACAAAACTTTGCATGAAATAAAAATGATGGGAAAACAAGATGGTAGGTAAGTTGATGACTTTAGATGATACATTAAATATCAAGAAATAACATAAATAAAAACTTGAATCGAGAATTCTAAATGTTATTTAATGTATAGTAGGTGCTTGATTACCACAAAATAAATGTTTTTATTTAAAAATATATTCACATCAAACATTAAAAGCAATCAATAAATAGAAACAATTTTTTGTCAACACAAAGCAAAACAGAAACAAATCTCTTAAAAAGTAGATGATCATCATTCTTAGGCCTATTTTTAAGTATTATTGTAACAAAATTATTTTCGGAAATACATGCAAAATATCAAAATAATTAAAGGTTATTCAATTAAATATAATTAATATTTATTTTAAATAATTAAGTAAAGGAAAATAATACTATTCAATAACTAGAATACTTAGAGAAAAAATAAGATTTAATTTTGAATAAAATTAGATTAAAAAATGCATATAAATTGATATATTTTAACTGTCCAATACCAAAGTTATCAAAAGCATATTAGAGTATATATTAGAACAGAAGTGTTTCCATTTGATACAATGTTTTAAATATTACTGAAATAATAATTCTTTTATATGAAATATGCAAATAAAATAAATCATAAATAATTGGACATCAATAACACAAACATAACCATTACATAAACACAAAAAAAATATTTATTTATTTTTTTTTATCGAAAAGCAAGCATTGCATAGTTGGGTTTTGTGTAACAAACATAAATTTAACTGACAATATTCTTGGAAGGGCGCTCTCAACTTTAATACAATTTAATACACAATAAAGATTGACAGTCTCGTTTCACTTACCTCTGACTGGGAGGAGTCCATGACAGACATTTCTGGGGGGACTTCTGCAGGTTGATGGTAGTGTGGAGCAGCAGAATAAATCACTTCCGATCCAGGAGTTGCTGGTGAGTAGACAGGCGTAAGAGGAACCCCATGATGGGCTGGATTTGTGCCACCTGTTGACTATTTAAAATACAAAAATGGTTCAACCAAAAGGAGAAATATATAATTCTTTTTTTAAACATTAGCACAAAAATTTATACATATTTTTTATAACTTGCTATGTGAATCCAGCAACCACCTATAATAATTTAAAATATATGTAGTATGCCTGCTGCTGCAATATGAAACCTTCACAAACCAATTTCATCAATCTGATTGCTCAAACGTTTACATCACATGCCATACGCCAATTTCAAACGAGTCTCAGTGCCAAAGATCATCCTCTATTAATTTTGTTTACTTCACATGATTGCATAAAAAAAAAATCAATAACATATCATATATTTTCCCCCTCTCTGTAGATACTTTGGCAGAATTTGTTAGTACTGTGGCGCACTTTCCAAAGTATGTTGCCATTTTATTTGTGAAAATACCAAATCCAGCAGCCTCAAATTTAGTTAGCATTAGATGATACCGTCATCGAAAAAAAACAACTCTTCATTTTTAACAGGATTGAACCTGGGACCTTTGGAATGGAAGACAAATCCCTAAAACTACATGTTACTCACCTGAGGAATCCACCTCCACTGGTTGTGAGCTGAGGTCCATTGCTGATTTGTCTGTAATAGAAAAGTGCACAAATATATAAATTATATTGAATGAAAGTGGTTTGACCATGGAGGTATTATTGAGAAGATCACTTGAAAAAGCTCTGCGCACACAGCATTATGCAAATGAGCCAAGAACAAGCCTGCCACAGCATGTGAAGGCCGTTTGCGCTATGCCTTTGAAGTCTAATGTGTTCCCCGCCACAAATGCTCAGCAGGCTTAATTTATCAAAAAATTGAACATGGAGAGCACCTTCATTTCTCAATGTGCACTATTTACAGTCAATCACTATAGCTGCGCAATCATTTCCACCTTGAAGTTAATACATTTATGACACTTTATCTGTCTACCCAAGAATATGTGGTGGGGTTGCCTGCCACTGCACCAATATGGCAGCAACACATAAGCATGTGGACCCAATGACCAGGGAAAACAAAGCGCTTTGTAATAAAAAAAAAAAGGTGCTATTTAATAATAAATAAATTGAAAATTGCAATACAATTCTATAAATGTTTAACGAGGGTGGCATATTTAACAAAGCTGAACATTTCCAACTAGGTATGTTCGCTACCAAGTCACTGTAGTGTGCAGTATTCATATAACAAGAAATACTTGTTCAAATGTACAGTACACAGTTGGATTAACGGACCATTACAAATTTTGAATTTGAATTAATAAAAATGTATGCAGAACCAAAGTCACATACCACTTCTTTTGCATTAAAAGTCATAAATAATGAAGTCATGAAAATATAATTATATGAAATTCAAGAATATACTTTATTACATTCTGCATTAATGACACTGCAATCAAATCTAGTTTATGTGTACACATAAATTAAAAGCCAGACGATATCATCATGTGCTTATATAATATATGTGCTTAAATCTTTATCTAGTAAAACTAGTAAAACTTACAGCTGGCGAGGCCTGATGGAATGCATAGCTTTGTGGTTGGGAAGCCATGTACTGAGGAGGTGCATGAGACATGACAACTGGGACACTGTATGGTGCATAAGCAGGTGCCTGCAAAACATAAAGCATGTTGTCAAAGTTAGAATGGTGTCACCACTACGCAAAGGGCAAGCTACCGGAAGACTTTCCATTTTGGGGGAGGAACTGGGAAAATAACATACCGTATATGCTCATATATAAGGAATGTCATGGCGAAATGGTTAAGTTGTCGCACAGGCCAGTATTGAGTAAATGAGCTATAAAATATGGGAGCTCAAAAAATTGCATAAAAATCCAAATTTGTTTTTCACTATAGATCAACAGTTTAAGGTCTTATTAATCATGTACCAAAGTATTAGTTCCGGAAGTGGTCAACAAGTTGTTTATTTAACGTTATTTTGATAGTTCATTCTATTAAACAATGTATGCACAAATAACTTAGAAAGGCAATTACTCAAAATCATGTTTATCTTGATTCTAAGAGTACTGTACTTTCACTTTCCAACAACTTAGGCTTGAAATGTCCAATTTCAATGAATGACCCCTCATTTTAAAGATCACATACTCAGGTATCTGAAAATACCAATAACTTGAATTTCAATTTTTGCTACAACTTAGCCATTTGGCCACAACATGCCTCATATAAGACAACCCCTGAGTTTGAGAAGATTTTTGGACAAATTTTTGTGTATCGGGAATATAGGCAACCCCCTTGTTTCACCGTCGGAATTCATATACTTTGCTGCTATTTTTAGTCTTGATACTGCATCTAATAGTATGAATGTCACTCCAAAAATTGACATGGCCATATTATTCATGTTTTGCTTTTACTTCTTCTTCTGATATTGTACAGACCACCACTAATGGTGTATTACATACATAGGAATAATACATATAATACAAAGATACAAACTATATACAGTATCAGTTACCAGGGATCCTAATTAATATGCAATTATTTAAATGAGGCAATTATCCAATCAGAGTAAAGTAGCATCATGGTGAGAAAGTATATTGAGAGGAATACAGTTCAGAGAGAAAGATTAACAAATGTAGATCAGGGCAAGTTATCAGTGCGAGAACCAGGTCTAAGTACAGGAAACAAAATAAATAATCAATAACTAGAGAGAAAATTGTAACTCTTTAGATACTTTTAAGCCACAATTTAAGCTTGGCTTGTTAACATCATTAGCATAGGCTTCTTGAAGTAGTAGTATGTCTTTATTATTATTACAAGAATCGATGATGGTAGTGTTATTAAAAATGACCATAGTGGATCTGAATTACATAATTCATGTTGACATGATTCAGACTCATTCAGACAAGGAAGTTTTGAGATACCCATTATGTGTTTAAAACCACCAAAGTTAGATAAAGTTCACGTATGACGCTATCTTTTCTTTTCCAATGTTCATTAATTCTTGTGAGCAGACATCTTTCTGTTTTACCAATGTACTCATCATTACATCATGGGCATTTAAATCTGTAAACTACATTACTTTGGAATTCTTTAGGTGTGGAGTTCTTAGTAGATGTGAAATGAGGAAGTTTCTTATGCCAAGTAGTAATGAAGTGAACATCATCAGTTAAGTTGCGTTCGATTTTAGAGATTGAGCGTTTCAGAATTTTACCCCAGTAATACCACAGAAGGTATTCCGATCCAAATTTTAGTTAGTTCGGGGTTTTCCAGTGGTAATCCCAACATAGACCTTCTGCAACTTATAGAAAACTTTTGTGATGACACGTTTAGGGTAGCCATTCTGGATATAAAACGCTTGATATTATCGATTTATTTCTTGATAAGATTAGTGGAACATAGTTTGTTAGCTCTAGAAAATAGACTTCTGATCCAAGATGTTTTGTACTTCCATGGTGTGAAGTTACTGAAGTGGATAAATTGGCCTGCATGCGTTTTCTTACGGTAGATTGAAATTTCGCTTTTATAAAATTTGATACATAAATCAAGAAAATTAATTGTGGCTACATCTAGCTGTCTAACATGGAGCCAAATGTAGTGCTAATCCTCCAACTATTACCATTTTATGGGCTTTTATGTTCATCAAAATCTTATTTTCCTGCATTTAAAATTGCATTCATTCATACTATGAGTTACTACAGGTAGCTTCAAAACTTGCGTGTTATGCACGATTTAAAAAAAAAAAAAAATGTGTATGTTGAGCATAGAAGTCCCCCTGTTTTTTTAAGTTGTAGTCAATTTTGGATCTAAAACAAATTCAATTTGTGAGGCACTGGATTCAAGGCCCATGGAAAATATCCTGAGTGGCCTCATCTCAGCACTAGACTAAACAAGTGTATGAAGTATGTGCTTGTTATGTTCACACCTGTTTTTTTTTGGCTTTGCATCCTACTCTGGGCACCCCCACATAATGTAGTACTACATTCAACTTTCAGGATCAAATAAAACCACATGTTTTGTGAGCAAATCTCAACACACCTGCTAATGTTGTGAATGTGCTTATCGAATGTGCTTTGGTAATGTTGTGAATGTTAATAGCCAAAATTATGAATGTATAGACATTAATCATTCCTTGTACATACTCATTCAATACAAAATGTGTATTTAACATCCAACAGCTGTCCCATCTATAATTTATGTCCCTGCTGATGATGTAATCACAGGGCCATGCTGTAAATCTATTTTGCTGAAAGGGTCACCCTGTCTAAATATGGTGAATAAGTTAATTAATTAAATCCACATGAACTAATGACATGATTGGTGTTTTCCTGAATTTTCCTGAAAAATTCCACATCCCCCCAACCTCAAATTCCAAGTCTTTTCCAGGTATTCCATCATATGGAATTAATCCTCACCTGCTGTGAGTGAGTGTGCTGTGGTATTGCCGATGGGTGCGCTAAAGGTGTTTGTCCAACTTCATTGGGATTGAAATAGGCCACTCCATTTAGGTATGTGTAGGTAAAACCAGCTGGGGCTTGCACCACGTTTACGACACCATTCGGTAAGAAAGCTGTGTCTGGAAAATGAAAGAGTGAAGTATTCTTGTCAATTATTATAGTATAGCATAAAATAATTTGGTACAAACACACATCAGGTAGGGTAAAACATCACTCCTATGATATTTCCTTGATGCAAACTCACATTGAAATGGCATTTGCCCTGATACTTGGGGATCAGACACAACACTAGTCCAGTGGTTATGACGCCAGGGTAGTTTTCTGGAGGTCGTGGGTTCGATTCCCACCCGAATCACTTGCAATTTTTTTTTGTTAAGTATTTGGGGACGTACTGAGTATGTGGTACGAACACATGTCAGATAGGGCAAAACATCACTCCTATAAAATAATTCCTTCTCACTCAGTTCAATAAACACAATGTATATATGGAAGCACAGCATTACTAAACTTACCAACATTCTTCGGATAGTGAACAGGCTGAAAAAAATGTTAATATAATTTTAATATTAAATTCTGTCAAATTAACTACAAATCTACAAAATACAATATAAGCTTTGAAGATAAAACTTAACGTAAGCTTATATTCTCTAACAATTATATATCATCAAACACATGATGTAGTGCTATTTGTTTCTAACAAAAAAAATTGTTCTAATCAATTCTGATATTGCTACTTTAATTGATACTGTATAACTATTATGATTATTTTTTTAATGTAGGAAAGTTGAATGAAATTCCAGATGTAATTAGTTTAATGCTACCTTACTTACCTGTTTACGAATTGCTGGCCCAATATTTAATTTCTTGTCCTTAAATATCAAATTGTTACCCTAATGAAAAAGTATGTGAACATATTATTGTGAAAAGAAATCTTTGAAAAATGTGAGCACAACATTAAAATATTTGTTTTGATTGACTGAATTAATTGATTTACAGATGAAGTATAAAGTTGGCCTATAAATATTACTATTTATTTTGCGCTATTTATTATTGAATTGTTACATTATTCTGATAGTTATTTTGTACAGGGACCTGTTCCCTTTGTTACCTATCAGTCTCTTATTTGAGTTAGAAAAAATTATAAACTTATGATTCATAATTAGTTATGATTCCAATTAAATATTAGATATGCCCTTTATGACTGGTGCTGGCAATGAAAATGTATTTAGCCTATATAATTATATAGACCTACTCATCTATTATTATCATTATCATTATTATTTACCTGTTCCTTGATTATTCTAACAGCTTCATCAGCGTTTTCAAAAGTTATAAACCCATACCTATATTTATTTTGAAACAAATACAACATTTTATTTGACATGAATATGTTTTATTTAATGTAGTTCAAATTGATTATTTTACATTTCCATATAACACCTTTAAGCATGAACGTTATTTCTATTGTTCCCGTTTAAATGTGTGATAGACCACAAGATCATTTGGCTTTACATTTCTACAATCTGCTTTATTAAGTATCAATCATAATTGCATTAATTTATAGTGACAACGCCAACATTAGGTCAACAGATAATCAATTATTTCATTTGATTAGAATATAAAGTCGCCAGTCAGCTGCTACATAATACTGATAATATAACTACAAATATCAATTTATTGCCCAAATTTTGAAAAACATTTATACAACAATTTTTATCTGCTTACCCCTTACTGATGCCAGCTCTGTCTGTTATAATTTTTGCCTCTTTGACTTGGCCATACGATGAGAAGAAGTTTTCCAATTCTACATCGTTAGTCTAAACAAAGATACTGAAACAGTTTAATAACATCATAACAAATTTTTAAAACTGGTCCTTTATTGCCAAGTGCAAAAACCTGACCTAAAATAACAAAAAACAAAATAAAATTGATGACTAAAACGGCTTTGGGAAAACACTGAATAGTATTAAACAATATAAACAAAAACAACATAAGTAGGAAAAAATAATTTCCTACAGAAAAATTAAGTATGTATCACATTAATCAAAAACCTACCATGTGTTGAAACAAATTGTTTAAATATATTAAAAAGTAGGCCAACAAACCCATTGGCACCAACTGACAAAAACCAAAATGTTGAAATAAAACAGATGCTCAATACCAAGCCAGATGCATCCCATAATGATATGGGTTTTCAAATTGGACTAGAAAATGCCACACACCCAAAGGTTATGTACAGGTTCAAGTCAGTATAGCCACGTAAATTACTGCATTCAGAGTTACCACAGATCAGTTTTATTATAATTGGAAATATACTCACAACAGATATCAATTAAAAAGTACAGTATATTGCTACTAATACGGAGAAATGTTTACCTACACTTCGTCAATAATTTTACCTGTAAAGGGAATTACAGTATAACATTTCAATAACTGCTACAGTAGCTGAAAGTTTACTTTCTAATATCAAATTATGAAAAATAACATACAATATTTACCTGGAATGAAATGCCACCAACAAATATCCTATTTGGAATAACTGTGCCATATTTTGGGGCATTTGGTGCCAGAGGTACAGGAGATGAAGAGTTACTGCAGGTATCAGTCACCTATAACAATATATAATTCAATAGAATTCAATTTAATAGTGTAAGCTATACAGTCAATGATCCTATAAAGTGCTTCTCTCATATAAACTCTCTAATATTAAGCGTGACATGAAACATGATTTTTTTTTGCTATTGTAGCATTTATTAGAGATATATTCTAAATTTTGAATAAATGTTGCATCACAAATCTTAACTACTAATCATCATATAAATAGTGTGCACTATTTAGAACAATAATTTGTAATAAACACAGCCTCTTAAATTACCATAACCAAAAGCACTCCTATAAAGTCTACAAAAATGTTATACAGTCGAGTCCGTCAAAGTCGACTCTGTTTAAGTCGAAAATTCGCGTCAGTCAAATTTTTGAAAACGTCCCAATTCTTTCCTATGTATTACTGTGTAAATTGTTTGTTTAATTCGAATTTTTATAAGTCGAATTTCGGCTATATCGACAGAATTTTCCAGTCTGGATAGGCCAATTTTAAAGTAATTTCAACCACACAAGTCGAAGTTCCAAATTTTGTAGCGCATGTGGGAAAATACACAGACGTGGGAAAATACAAAGTTGTACGGCAACAAGTTAGCCAAGTCAAAACTAACATCTCAGACAGCGCGATGTGGAACTTGGCTCACACGATCGTATGTCGTAAGTTGCAGTCTACTCTCACAATACAGACACCCCTCCGGACTGGCTCCAATGTTCAGTTTGTCGTCCAGTTCAGTTTATAGAACTTGTATTGAACCCATTTTGTTGAACAAGACTGTTGTAGTCTGGGCCTAGCCGTTTAATTAATTTATCAAAGCCCTGGATTTTTTTGACTAGGCCTAGTCTAGCCTACGCAAATTCAACACATTATTTAATAATACGTACAGTACAGTACCTGTTGTTTTGCTGTACTGCTCAGCAAATTTAATTATTACCAATAAAATTGATGCGATTTTTATATTGTTTTTGATGTTTTATGTTTTTCCAAGCACACATTCTTCGTTGGGTAATGCTGGTCAGCAGTCTAGTTGTAAACAGAATAGGTCAGGCCCCCAAAAACTCTGCCTGCCCCCCCCAATTGTTCCATTTTTGTGGGGTGTTTTGCACTAGACATGTGCTTCGGCTGTGATGACGTCAGATCGCCCAAAGTTTCATGGTGCATGACAGTAAACAAGCTCGGTGTAATCAAGAATGTTTTGATAAACAAATTTATAAAACAAAGCAAAAAACAAATAAGAAACCCTCATGGTATTATTTTAGAGTCAAATCTAAATAAACCTATCAAATTAGATTTATTCTCTACAAATTTCCTCCGTAATAAAATTAGCAACATGTTTTGAATAGCATCTTGGGGTGCATTTGCAATTTACACGGACGAATCTAACGAATTTGAATTAGATGTCTACTAAAAAGAGTAACCAGTAGGAACTTGCTTTGTCGAATTCCGTCTTTATTTCAGGTTGATTCCAAATGGTTTTTAAGGATTAAAAGCAAGAATATACACTAATTGAAACATTGGAATGCGTACCTAAATTTCACTTCATAATTAACCAACAAAACGTCTACTGGTGTGTCATGTTAACCAACAGATAATCTCCATGGCAATGCGAGTACAGCTAAGCACCTCGTTTTCACAGCGTGTGGTATGCTTGTCGTTAAACGATGTCTACTTAACTATCGTCTGGTTTTTCCAGTGAGTGTTACCGTCCTGAATTGGAAAAATCGTCTGAGATTCGGAATAGGGAGTTCATGTTTTCAAGAAAGCATTTTATTAAAAGAAGAATAGGAATGATTTTGGGACTTGAAAAAATGTTCGGTTTTGAGTGAAATTCGATTTTGTGGGCATTGAGTACTACATAGTATTGGTCTATGTTAATATATATATATTTTTTTTCCCTAAAATTTGCAAGTCAAAATCTGATAACTCGATCTTTTTATGCCAGTCCCATTAGATTCGACTTAGGCGGAGTCGACTGTATAAAGACAAGGGTACAAATTGGAACATTTATAGCACTCACAATCATTATCAATCAGCCAATGGAGAATATTATAGTACCACATTCAAACACTGAATTTCATTCTTCATGTTTAAACAAATTTCCTTCACAACCAGCAGGAATCTTGTCAATTACACTACAAGATGGAATATGATGCTCAATAGTCTTTTTTTAACGCTTTAGGCTAAGAGATGAACCTGTGTTCACCCAGTGTAAAATGGATGGAACTCAGGACCAATGTGGATTTTTTTGTTAAATGTAAATGGAAATGCATCCGGCATCGCTCCAGAATTATCATGTGTTTATTATAACCTTGGCAGAGTAAAAAGGGTATACAGATGAACTTGCCTAAGTCGAATCCATAATGCCATTGAAATATTGTTCGACTTAGATAAAATTCTACTTACAGATTGTTAATTAATGGAGAATACAACAATTTGGCATTTAAAATAAGATCGACTTAGAAATTATTCGACTTAGAAATTATTCGACTTAGGCAAGTTTAACTGTAATTCCTAGCCATCAAGCTATTCAACTCTAGTCATCATTTAAGCTCAAAAAATGTCACAGATTATATCTTACTTTAAAGGAAGATAGTTAATAACATTTTGCATTCATTTAGTTAATTACTTATCTTGTTGGGTTAGAAAAATTATGTCAAACTGGTTTTAACATTTAACTGTAACTGTAAAGATTACTATAATTTTACAAAAACAGCAAACGTTCCTTTCACTGAGCATGCCTCACCAGGCTAGAAGATATGTACTGAAAACATTTTAATTGTACACATGAAAACTTGTATAATATATAATTATTTTAATACAAATTCAAATGTTTTAGGCAATTCATCACGACTATAACTGCTTAGCAGAGAATAAGAAATCTTTTAAAAGTTCTTCAAAAGATATCAATTAAAGGGGCCATTATACTGGACATCTCTTTTTATCTTTTACATGTTTTGGTTTGATTTAAGTTGTTTTTCATATTTTGTCTTTTGTTTTACAAAGTTTAGTGTGCCACTGTTAGCGTTAGTGTAAAGGTGCATGGTTCAAATAATTATTATTTATTATAAAATGTGTTCATTTATTTGTTGTACTTTACATGTAGTTTTAAGAAATGCAACAGTAAGGCCATGTAAAAATTTTAAAAATTAGTTAGCATCTTACGTTATCAATTTTCATGGTAATGAGGGAGGTTTTTGTTTTCTCGCGTTAACATGAAAAAAGAGTGTCGAAATGAGGGAGGTTTTTTTTTCTCGTGTTCAACATGAAAAAAGAGTGTCGAAAGGAAAAACAGTAAAACAAAAAAGAAAACAGTGACCAAAATTGCATTCAAGAAATTATGTAATTCATCTATAGCAAGCAGAAACTTTACCTATGAATAAGTCATAATGCAATTATCTCTATATAAAATCCTGCACAATTCACTCCAACACAACAAGCATCATGGATGCCATGTGACTACAATATAAAACAAACAGTAGAGAACTGCCAAGTGGTCTGGCTAGTGGCCTCTCTGTTGGTAGGGAGGGGATGCTAACCAATTATTTTATTTTAACATGGCCTAATCATGTTTCTTATCTTTAAACACAACTAAGGAAATTCAAATTGTTAAGTAGACACACATATTTCATATATATTTTGTCCACTCACCATCACACATGTGGCCATAATTAACCATACCATTAAAATCATACCAGCCCAATTCCTACTCTTTGACAAGTGTTAATAAATCTAATGATGTAATTCACCACCATGTCCTACTTTCTAAATGTAAGTAAAGTTATCTAATAACCATTAAATTATCGATGAGAACATTCAATCTATATTTTATAGAATTAGGTTAAACGTCACACGGACACATTAGGCAGCTGTTTATCTTGCGACGATCATGTGCCCATCGAATAGGCCACCATCGCTGAGGAGAGTATATATACTGACTGTCACTGACCTATCGCCTATGCAACGAAACTTTATATTAAAAGATGACAGGTCATGGTTCACCAACCAAGTATCTTATTCTTGTTATTGATATTAAACATTGTCCCATTCATTAATTAAGTTTGCAGTCTAGCCTACCCATCCCAGTTGTAAAAAAAAAGTCAAATTATTTTATACTAATTTACTAGTATAGGCCTATATCCTGTGTCCTGTGACAGACCTACTGTACTACCAGCAGCCAGCCTCAATGTGATGTTGAACCTACCCTAGTAGGCTAGCCTACCTACCTAGGCCCTAGTTGAGTACATCTGAATGGTTATTATAAAATGACAATAAATAAAATTAACATTTACCGAAGAATTTTGATCTGCCATCTTCTAAAAACTAAGCCAAAAATCACAAGTTATTCGTAATCAATCAGAAAATATATCCAGATACCCACAACATACAAACGAACAACGAAAATAAAAGAGAAATTCCAGAGGAAATTACACGGTTCAAAGCAATCAAATCCACCAACAGTGATGCGGTGCGGTATCAAATATCTTCATGACAGACAGGAGGAGTTGGCGCGTTATTTCATTATTTCATGCCTCAGTGACTTTAGACTATTCTATTCATTTGAATGGTTGAATATAAAACACAAATATCATTAATTATTTATAAGTTGTTTTAATAACATATAATTCAATTACTTGTAGACATATATTACGGCTGTAATGTAGATGTGCATTTTAAATAGCTTATATTATGAGAATTACACTTAATGAGTGTTTTCATACATTATACAACTACCCAAGTTTGAAATGCACTGTACCATGTACTGACTTGAACTTTGACTTTGTTTTTGCGTACTTACAAAAACAAAAGTGATGTATGTGCGCGTGTTTGGAGAAATAGACGCGTTACATGGACCCTGGATGGACGCGCCACACTCGGATCGTCGCATCGTATTCTTGTTGTATTTTCTTCGTTTCATGAAATTTGTTCTTGTTTTCCCTAGCCTTTCCACTCAGATTTAAATTCTCGACCGTCACAATGTTATTAGCACAATCACTTTTCCTTACTATCTCCCCTTCAAAGAGCTATGATAATAAGCCTGAAATGTTGATTTTAAATAAAAGTGCACCCCACCCCCTTTCTAAGTGTCGGGGTTCGGTCCCCAGTTAGCTATGTGTGTATTGAAGATTATTAGTTAATACTTATGGAAAATATGGTCTCGAAGATAAAAAAAAAATATATTTTTATTATATTATTATTTTATATATAAAGTACTGTAGGCCTAAACAAATACCGGTATGGAACTTGTAGAAAAACGAATGAGCGTTACCGCGTGTAATGTCTTCAACGAACTTCGACGAAGTCGTCAACTTTGCGACGTTGTACTAGAAGTTGAGGGTCGTGAGTTCCACGCCCATAAGAATATACTTTCCGCATGTAGTCCATACTTCCGAGCACTATTTACCAACGGTATGACTGAAAGTGATTTGAGTCGAATCCATATTCCCAATGTGTCATATAAAGTCATGAATTACTTGATTGAATTTGCGTATACTCGTGACATCACACTGACAGCCGACAACGTAGAAAGCATTTTTGCTGCGGGAGATCAGTTTCTTATACATGGTAAGTATTATAATTTTAAAGTCTGGTAAAGCCAAAACGAAAAGTAGATGTACTTCGTAGATGTACTCCCGTTATCTGCCTTTGTGTATACAAAAAAAACACCCCTTTATTTCCACTAAACCATTGGCGGATCTAAAAGGAGGGTCAGCGGGGTCCTGACCCCCTCCCTCTTGGGCAAAAAAAAAAAGAAGTAAATTTCTAGACCAACTTTTTTGTTGGGGAAATTAGAAGTCGGGAAAGCTCGTTTCCCGCCATCTAGGAATCACAATTTCCCCCCCCTCTTTGCGGTTTATCGATTCGTGGAAAAATGAATACAAATGCAACTACTTATTTTTTTATGTAGGCCTATGTATACACACATAATTACTGTAAGAATGAGAAAGTTTGCCTGACCGTTTTCAAGGTGGGGGGGGGGGGACCTTGAATTTTAAAAGACACCTCAGAAGTAGGGAAATCCTTCCATCTAAGAATCAGAGCCCCCTCTTTGTTTTTGGAAACATTTTGACCTCCCTAATTTGAACACAAACACAAAGAAGCGCATGTGTGGTCGGAATGACGTTTAAAAGACACTACAGTGTAACTTACGGGACAGTGTCAATGAGATATGAATTGACTGATGAATGTTTGGTGACTTTATAGACCTTATCTGAAATCGATAAAATTAAATAATTAAAGATTCTGTTGATTATTTAATTATTTATTACTATTATTAAGTCTTCAGAAAATCATTTGTGAGTTATGTATGAACGGGCAGTAGTGGATGAGGTTCATCAGCAATGCAAGACAATGAATACCGTATAGTCCACCAAGCCCCACACTACGATGGCCCACACTGCAAACAAAAAGAAATGCTGCAAACAAAAATGAAACGCTGCAAATAAAAATTTAAAAAAAAACACCAGCAAACAAAAAAGAAAACGCTGCAAACGAAAAAAGGGGAACGCTGCAAATAATGAAAGCCATGCGGGCGCATTTCATATTCATGGCGACAGTGAGTGGAGGTGTACATAAGTCGACGGAGTAAAAGCCATGTTTTGCTCTACCTCTAACTGTGGAACAAAAATTTCAGAATCTGGAATTTTGCCATTCTTGCGGTGAATCTTTCATCTGCTAAGTCAATGAAGGATTCAGTTTCTTATAATACACGAAAATGGTAATGTCCAAATGACAGTCCATCATCATCATAATCATCATCATCATCAAGTAGGCCTAAGCTTGCTGGTCTCTCATTTGAGGCTTTCAGAGATATGAAAAAGGAAAGGAGCACTAGATTCACCAAGAGAGCCGTGTCATCGAAAACAGAGAAAAACCCCGAAGTCACCATACAGATCGGTCTTTCAAAGCTTCGTGATGGTGTCTGAAAAGTGTCAGGGGATCATCCCTTCCCTTGAAAGTAAATCCTTCGATAGAAATGGAGGAGCTCTTAAAAAAAAAAAAAAAAAAAAGGGGGAGGGGGCGAAAAAAATGATAAAGTTTAACAAAGACCTCATCAGCTTCCCAGAAGCTTTTGCTTTATTGTACCATTACAGAAGTGAAGTGCAATTTTTGCCAGGTAGTGAGGAGATATTTTCCTTACAAAGTTAGAGGGAAGAGCTGGGGAAATTCTACTAACGGATTACATTGTATTTATGCATCAAAACCGATTATAACAAGTCAAGACTGGGGTAAGTGTAGACTCATCTGCTCCAGCCTTGCAAGAATCTATTGATTTTGTAATAAGCCATAAATTCAGGAGAGGTCTGTTATTTTACATGTGAGGGGTCGACTTCAATTTGTTTCTTGCCGAAGTAAACGAGCATATTATATTTTAAATTCCTGACTATATTTTTCAACTGAATTTGAGTCCTCTTTTGAGCATCTCCCGGGACAGTAGGGGGTTTGTCAAAATCTATCTTATACCCAATTCCTTCTCATGTCGTGAATATGAAATGCGCCTGCAGAGCTTTCACTATTATTTGCAGTGTTTCCTTGTTTGTTTGCAGCTTTTCGTTTTTTGTTTGCTGATGTTTTTTTTATTTTTGTTTGCAGTGTTTCTTTTTTGTTTGCAGCATTTTAAAATTTTTTTAAATTTTTGCTAGTCCTGGATTTTCGTAATGCCGTGACAGCAAAATTTTCAGGAATTACAGGAAAAATCAGCGATTTATCCACATAGGCCTAATCAATTTTCAGGAATAAGCAATTTGACAGTTGATCAGAATAACACGCAGATTTTAGTTATCACCACGTCCAACTTTTGTCCCCTTACTTTCAGTCACCGATTGGTACTGCGGCCTATTTCTTTTGGATTTAAGACCATAGAGAAAGTGGGAAAAATGGAAACTTGGGGAGGAATTTTGTTTTTTCTCTGGATAGACTGATGGTTATACAGTTTCTAAATCGTTTGTACTTTATCATCGTCGCTTATACTTACCGTAATTTGTTTATATTTCCAGGCATTGTGCAGAAATGTAAAGATTTTTTGGTAAGACAAATTTGTCCAGAGAATTGCTTTGGTATTCGTAACTTTGCACGATCCTACTTCTGCACTGAACTTTCCGACATTGCAATGGACTATATTCTGGTACACTATGAGGAAATAGTAACAGCAGACGATGCAGACGAATTTCTCAAGCTAAGTCTAGCTGACCTTATCGATGTAATCTGTCGTGATAATCTGAATGTTAAGATGGAAGAGTACGTATTTGAGTCTGTGTTACGCTGGATAAAATACAGTGAAAAAGAGCGAAGGAAGTTCATGCCAGAAATTTTGATGCATATTCGCCTTGGCATGACCAACACCGATTACTTCATGAACAACGTCAAAGCAAACGAATACGTCAAGGACAACGAACTCTGCAGGCCAATCATCATTCAGACATTAAATTACACTTATAATTTTGATGCAGTGTCCGCTGCCGCTGGTCCTAGTCAAGTTATTTCACGGCCACGACTCCCATATAAGCTCTTGTTTTCAATCGGTGGATGGAGTGGCGGAAGCCCCACCAATACCGTGGAATGCTACGATACACGTGCTGATCGCTGGTCAATAATTGATACGGAAAATAGTTCCCCACGAGCGTATATGGGTATAGCTGTTGTAGGGCATAAACTTTACGCCATGGGAGGATTCGATAGCAACCAGTACTTCAACAGTGTACGCTCTTTTGATCCAATCACAAAACGCTGGGATGAAGTGTCGCCAATGCATTCCCGTAGGTGTTACGTCAGTGTTGCTGTTCTTGACGATTGCATTTACGCCATGGGTGGATTTGATGGCCACACAAGACTTCGCACTGTTGAAAGGTAAGCAACCGATAAAACTTTATTTTAGGAATTGTGAGGTTTTGTTTAAAGCTTGGTGTCCATACAATCGCTCACCCTATCGGCGACAGTCGCTGACAGCTGTTGAAGGTTGAACCTGTTTCAAATCTGCTGACTGCGTTGCACACGAATCGAGGTGCCTTCCCGATTGCGTAGGGGCAACTACCATAGCACCCTGATTCGTTTGCAAAACAATTGGTGAAGTTGAACCAGGTTCAACCTTCTCGACAACTGTCGGCGAGTGTTGCTGATAGGGTGAGCAATTGTATGGAAACCGAGCTTTAACATATAGTTTTTATATTTTTGGTAGTTTCATAAGAATTTTATAATTTTTTAAAAATATGGATGGATATACAGTATTTATATGGCTATTATATAATTATTTAACACAAATCACATATATATGGTTTTTTTTCTCTTGGCAGGTATGATCCAAAGACGAACCAATGGCGGTTTATCACATCTATGAACCACCACCGGAGTGATGCATCAGCTGCTCAACTGAAGGGACGAGTGTATATTTGTGGCGGTTTCAATGGCAATGAATGCTTGAACTCTGCGGAATATTTTGACCCTACAGACAACACCTGGAATGACTTGCCACGCATGACGTCACGCAGAAGTGGGGTTGGCGTAGTGTCATATCATAAATGTATATATGCTGTCGGAGGTTTTAACGGTCTTACAAGGCAAGTTAGTTTGGAATGATTTGCTCTCTTTACCCGGGTGCTCACTATGTAGTACGACGAAGCCAACTTCATGTGAGCGCTAGAGGACACAAAGTTATCTGCTGATTTTCAGTGGCAGTCTGAATGGATAGTCATAAAAAAACAATCCGTTGCGCGCGTGGTTGTGTTGCATTCTCCATAAAATCCAATGCCCGTCATGTGCAGTGAGTGATCAGCTTAATCTTATTTTATTACATGATTGCTCATCACAAAATACAACATTATACAGTCATCAAAACCTTTGTCGTCATGTGTATATTACATTACCCTATCGTTAACAAATTAAAATGAACACAATTTTTGCACTATAACTCATTTCTAATTTGTTAAATACTCAAATGTCAATTTCTGCTACAAGTTTTATTAATAAATTGTAGTACTTCAGCAATTTTTTTCGTGTAAGCCTATCTGGTATTAACATTAAAATAACATTATTAATAATATTATTATTAAAATGTTTGCTACCTTTCTTGTTTATTGATAATTTAAATTTTTTTTAGTACTTAGTTAATTACATCCCTGCTTTTCAAACTAATCCAGGTGATGGTTTATTTATGGATCTAAGCCTTTTAAGCGACACATAGCTGACAAGTCACGATATTTTAGTGGTCTTGTGTTTGAAATTAGGTAAAAAAAGGCATAACTAACATAAATTTCTACACAACCTCATTCATATGTAGGAGTGTGTGGCGCAGAGTGTAAGGTTTTGGACTTCTGATTGTGAGATCGGGAGTTCGAGACCGGCGCTCGTCGCATTGCTTGTGTCCTTGGGCAAGGCACTTTACTTACATTTGCCTCTCTTCACCCAGGAGTATAAATGAGTACCTGGTAGGATGGTATGGCATTGAATGTATGGGTCATGCGCCTTCAAGCAGTAATGATCAGGGATACTCCCCAGTAAGCAGAGAAAGTTGCACAATGTGCAGATCTGCCAATTCAGTATCCAGTGACCAGGAAAATAATGATGCCAGCGCCTTGTATAATCGCTTGTAAAAATCGGAGGATTCCGAAAGGCGCTATATAAATTATGGTTCTACAAAAAAAAAAGTTCAATTTAGGTCGCGACCCATAGTTGGAGAACCACAGAAGTAAATCCCAATCCTGAGGAACATGAGCCATAATAAGCCATGAGCCATGAATAATTGTGGCAAAGACAAGCCAAACCAGTCACTCGTCGCAAAAATTGATTTTCAGTTATTAATATGGATAAGCAGTAAAATGCGAGCTATAAAATGGTAAAAGAATCATTTAAATCTGACATTTCGTTAAGAAGTTACAGGATTTTAAATATACAGATGTTCAAAGAACAATATTTGAGAAATTAGCCTTCAAAGTTTACGATTTCTCTGGCAGAAACCATCACCAAATCGTAAAAAATTGTTGGTTTAACATTGAAAATGGGGAAAATAACAGCCTAGCATGAAGTATGGATATATAAAGGTTAGTTTAAAGCAATACAATAGATTTCCAAAAGTTTGACGTTCCAGCTTGTTTTGGCCATTATCTCCGAAAGAGGATTAGCAAAGGGTAACTGGTTTGGCTTCTCCACAAGTATGTGGTAAAAACATAACCTGTAGTTGTATTAAAAGGATAAAAAATAACATGATGGTATAATTGTTTCCTATAGGTTGAATACACTGGAGAAATATGACCCACATGTAAACAACTGGGTTCTCTGTCCAAGCATGTACATCCATCGAAGCAATTTTGGAGTCAGCATCCTTGATGATATGATTTTTGTAATTGGTGGATTCAATGGAGTGACCACTATCTTCAACGTTGAATGCTACGATGGTGACAATGATGAATGGTAAGTGTTGCATCTTATTCACTCATTTTTAACTTATAGAACTAACGCCAGACATAAAATTATTGAACATCATCTTATGAAGTATACTTTAATTCTATTAAAAGATATTAAAAAGTACAAAATAAAGACCTGATAATTTATTCGTTATAATCAACAGTTTGTGTGTTGATATTGATATATTAAAATAAAAAAAATTAGTGGAAATGGTTTATACATGTCTTGACAACACCATAAATAGCAGTGAGCCCACTACTGGTTAAATATTCAAATACCTGTGTTTTGTAAAATGCTTTTAAAAATATGTTAATGCATGCTATAAATTAGTAGAAAATATTAGGAGAATTAAAGGAAATTGCCTTTGATTGTTTCAATATATTCAATCTGATTTATAAAGAACAGTTGCCTTATATAGTAAAAAGAATATAATGTGGTTTTTCTTTGTAAATAAACCATAATGTGTTAAGGTAAGTCAATGAAATAAATTTATTGATAATTAATATTTATGTTACAATTATTAATTGGAATTTTCTAATTAATTTCCAATACTAATTTGAAAATTTTACAATTATTAAAAAATGTATCAACAACACTGAGACTATTTTGCTATAGGTATGATGCCTGCGACATGAACGTGTTTCGCAGTGCCCTCCAAATTGGCGTTATAGCTGGACTGCCTAATGTTAGTGACTATGTCTGGCCTCGTGATCAAGCTCTTCCACCACCAGCTGTTCCCAGCAGCCAGGAAAACATCCAACAAGCAGCCCGAGTTTTGGAGGAAAATCGAGACCTAGCTCAAGCTCAAGAAGATGCGGAGTTTGATGCCGGTTCCATTGAAGGAGACGACGGAAGCGATGATGATGAAGATGAAGATGAGGAGGTACCGGTACCAGACAGGGCTCCAAATCACCGACGTCCTCCAAGTGGTCCATCTGGACGGGATCCAAGCCATGCAGTTATGCACCTTGCTTAGAAATAGCCTACAAAAATCAAAGAAAATATTTTTGTTGGAATTTGTTATATATAATATAAAATATTTAAAAATCATGTTTCATACTAGCATAAATTTCTATTTATATACCATTATGAACTATGTGAACATACAAATATAATCACTGTAAACTCTGAGTATTGCTGCTTTTTTGGTGTTTTTCTGCTTTTTTGGTGTTTTTCTGTCATAACAATTCTAAATACTATATATAAAACAATGATGATAATCAAATACATACACACAAAAGAAATAGGAACTCAAAGTCAATCAGAATGCTACCATTGCATGATATAAATAATGTGTAATCTTGCATATACCTCAAAACAGTAGTGAGCCCTCTGTTGCCAGAATGATCAAAACTTTAAACTAAGATCTTAAGTTACTGAATTTAAGAAGAGTCAGTGTTCTCCCCAGGCCCTTGAAGCATCATGGTACCATGATGCCTGACAGTTGGCCATGATGCTTGGAACATCTTCCATGATGCTTTTATCAGGGAACAGTTAAATTATTTAACTGTTCCCTGCTTTTATATAGTCTTAAAGTGTAATTTAGGACATTTCAATGCCTTCTAATTATTAAAAATACCTTGTGTCAATCCTAACTATAGTGGACTTAACACTTACCATGACGCTTGCCCATGATGCTATGGAGAACACTGAGAGTCATATGATTGAATTTGAGTATATCGAGAAAGATACATATATAAAATATGGATCATAATAAAGGGCATCTTTCAGACATGACATCTAATATACTACAAACAGATATGGTAATGGCAAATTTAACAAGTGGCACATCTAGTACATACAAATGAAATATGTAATTCCAGTGGCGATGGGGGGGGGGGAGTCCTGTGGCTTTATGAGAGCGGTGGCCTTTTGGGTCCATGGTTGGGGCTGAGGTAAAAAGATTAATGATGATGGCACTTAATATGGCCGGAAATGGCACTGACAGACTTAAAATTTAAAAATTAGGGGTCCCCTTTTATTCGTCACTGGATATAATATGATATACACTTGATGTCAGAGAAATATTATGCTGTTATGTATCAACAAAGCCCTTTATGGCCAGGGTGCTATATCGAGGACCATGTGGTTAGTGGGCACACCACCGCAGAGCACATAGGCCACTGTGTAAATGATGGACTCGTGTCTCAACATTTAAAAACACTTATACTATGACCAGGATTATTTGCAAAAAAACATGCACTTGTTCCTACATACAAGATACAATAAAGGTCTTTAAAATATAATAGAATTATTTCACTCATCATATATCAAATACAACATTAAAATTAGTGAATAATATAGTTATATTCCATATTAGATGGCAGTTGTTGCACAAAGGATTGACAAAAGCTAAAAAAATGCTTATGATGTATGCTATTGAAGGCTTAACTAATAATGAAGTTTTCTATTGTGTCAGTACCCACCAACAATTGAGTGGGTACATGGTAATAGATTTAAGACTTAAAACAAATAAATCTGTCAAATTATTTGTATAACTTTCATTCAGACTACAGTATACCTATTTCAGCACAGCAGTAGGCCTATATCTCTACATTGTAAACAAATGTATAGACAAGATTCTTACAGTTACAGAAAGTTTAGATAATAAATCAGATACCTATTTTGGAGATCAGAAATGTGGTGATTGATTTTAGATTAAAGTCATTGTCTAGTCCTTCTTTACCAAATCATTCTCCCTTAGTTTCCATCTCTTCATATCTCAATTTTTCTGGTTCAACTCTTCTTTCTCTATTTAAAACAAAAAAAAATTATTAATACTATAAGATAAAACATATATAATTACAGTATAGGCTGTTCAATTTATTACCTGAAACAAAAACAAAAAAATATGTGGATCAAGGTCAAAAACCTGGCCTGATGACAAAGTTATAACAGGGAGTTATAAAGTCTATTGAAATGTAAGGATGTAAAAAAACATGCAAGAGTATTTGACTTTGAGAAAATAACAAAATTTAAATTGAAGGATGAACATTGAAATTTATCATAGCTATTTGGCATTCATGAAAACAATCAAAGAAAAAAAGAATCATGGTGTTCTCATTTCCATCAAAAGTTAACATGAACAGCGCCACCAATCTTCTGGCATACTTTTTACTTTCCTAAAAAAACCTTTTTATAATACCGATATTTAAGCAAGATGAGCAAGTTATATCCAAATAAGTTTACATTATCTCAATCAGATCATTTCTAGATAGAACATACTTGAACTATGTTATAAGTATTTAAAAACTTTATTTTTTGTCTGCGACCTTCGATAAGTGTTTGTCCATCAAAGACCACTTTTTATTAAGATATACTATGCAAAAACAAAGAGTAAGGTAATGAATGAATTCAGAGATGTACTGGTAGCATACTGACAATATTATGAAGTAGCTTCCATAAAAGCCGTCAAAAACCCTTATTGACTATTAGCCGTCAAAAACCCTTATTGACTATTACTCGAACCCACCCCCAGTTTTTTAAATCCTTCATCTAGACCTTGACAATGACAAGGTCACGAGACAGATAAACTTTAATAAGGTTTTAATATAAACATCCTTCACAAGAAAGAACAAACACACAATTTGTTTAATATTATTTCCTTAATGCTGTCATTCCAAAACACCCACATTTTCTTTAAAATAATAACATTTACTATTCGCATTTAAACGTTGATATAAACATTATAATACTAAACACAAACATATAAGACCACAAAAAAAAAAAAAATTAACCATGTCCAAGGACTCTGATATTGGGAAATCAAATGCAGTTACAGTATTCAGTTAGTGGGTGAATTTTTTAGGGGCCTATGCTGAAAGGGTTTATTGTGAACCATGACGCATCCCACAGAAATCTTTGTTTAACTCCATACGTTAAATATTATGGGCTACTACTTAGTAAAAAAAAAAAAATTCTTCAAAAGGGAAACTGACCCTAGATTTTCCAGATTTTGGGTTGATTGTGTTTGGGCAACAAAATGTTTTTTATGTCTAATAGTAAACAAAGATTGTAATTAGTAATTCAGCTTGAAGAGTAGATAAATAGATATTTTATTATATAAAATATATGTATTTTATATATACTGTACAAATAATTGTCTATCAACTATCCAAATGCTCCAAAAATGTCACTGCAATGGAAATTGACAAACCATGCTTAAGTGCATCATTCCACCTGCGATTCTATTGAGTTCAATTTTACTTTTCAGCTGCTTAAACATTCCAATTAAAATTACCAACCATACAGGGCTCTTTAATTCAAGTTTATGCACTCTTTAAAGAGAAAGATGAACTATGTCAACAGAATCTGTACAGATTCATCAAACAAGAAATTAAGATTTTATAAAAGTACCAATGAAAATGTTGCCAACATTAAGTACAGAGGAGATTATGTGTTCAATGTTGATGTTGATAGCAGGTGGACACTAGGCCTGTGCAACACACCTGTCCAGCACTTCTTATGCAACAGGTGTGTGGCCTAATTCTTCCTTTAGCCTTTGCATGTGGCTACCTTTAGCATCATACAGCTTGCTAAAGATGACAGAGTTAATGTTAAACCAAATTTATGCTTACCAGGAATGGGACCCAATCGCAGCATAGACTCAACCGAGACACAACTTTGAGATAGTCCCCAGACCTAGTGGAATTTTCGTGTTTTAATTTTTTGCATTTTACACTAATTTACACTTCTACAATAATAAAAGCTTGCTAATTGCTGGCTGAAGGAAAGCTTTTCCCTCAATTTAAATTAATTGGCTGTCATGCAACAAATTAATTTGGCAAAAAATAAATATACAGTAGTTAAAAAAAGGAAGCACCAATAATCACAAAACTGAGAAAGAGAATTAAAAATTGAAGAGAGGTCAACTGACTTCAGATCTCGATCGATACTCTTCAACTTAGAAAACATAATTACATAAATAGCAAACAGGTCAGTGAAATGAATTCCTTTTAACTCTCATACTTCAATTACATATTTATATTTATAATATGTTATGATTTAGAATTATTTGAATTCCACATTCATAGGCACCCCATCCACTAGCATGCGTATCAGACATATTTTTATTTGACTATGAGTCTGACCCAATTCCTTAAAAATGGTATCCGTCTTTCATTATTCACTGTTGACCGACACCTACAGCTAACTTGGTGGGTACAGACTTGGACACTTTGAAAAGGACTACTTGCAAGATTCTTCAAATGCTAAAAAAATACAATTTATTTCTATTCTTTTCGAACTTTATCAATACCTTAAAAGTGGTATCAGGCTTTCGTTCCTTCATTCATTTGTTGCTAGACTCCTGGTCTAGGACATTTTTTTGTATTCTAGGCCTCCAGCCCCTTTACACAACAAAGTAACATTTAGAAAACGGAAGAAAGTAGATCACGTCTGCTTATATAAACTAAATACAGATCTTTCAATAACCTTTCAACAACCTGTCAAAATCAAAATATGTTATCCAATTTTATTTTACATTACTAAAGACAAAACAAAACAATAATTTTCACTAAATTGCTAAGTAAAATTATTACATTATCTAACATGATATGCTCAACAGCAATAATATAATGCACTACACATCTAAGTAATCAGTGGATCTGACTTGATCTTAAAGTTGTAATGGTTAGAGAGGCTCACTTGACCCTTCTTACTCTGCTATAGTCATACTAGCACCAAACTATTAAGACCACAAAGCACCATACTGATCCATTGGTTTTCATTATAATATTTCAGAATTTTCTTGGACATTAAATGTGGTTACCAAATGGTTTGACTATTTTACTTACCGAACAGTGTCACAGGGATTTTCGGCCCCTGAGCCTAATTCTATAGTGATTGTGGGTCTCTCAAACAGGACACTAGGTCCCCCTAGGGTAAATACTTATTGTACAGTGTGTACTTATATAGAAAGTATAAAGTAAAAAACAGCAGCACTTTTGAGACTAACAAGTAAAAAACAGCAGCACTTTTGAG